CAATAAGCAACAGTCGAAACATTAAATCGTGACAGCAACATAATGATAACATCAACTCCGACAATGACAACAAAAACAAATGAACAACAGTAACACAAATTACACCGACAACAACTCGAAATTTCAAAATTATAAATGATGTCATCGTCATCTTGGAGGACCGCGTTGGGAGCCAACACGCCACCACCACCACCACCACCACCACCACCACCACCACCACCACCACCACCACCACCATCATCATCATCATCATCATCATCATCATCACCAGCTCTATCTCTTTCATCACATTCATCATCGTCGTCATCATCGTCGTCATCGTCTTTTGTCCAATATAAGAAGAGTTGCTTTTCCATTGAGTTCTTGTTAACGAACGCAAAATCACCATCGTCATTAAGTTCGTCATCATCATCGTCATCATCATCGTCATCATCATCATCATCAGTTATTTCATCAACATCATCATCACCACCGACAACGCTATCAAACACATCATCACATTCATCGTCGTCGTCATCATCACCTTCACCATTTCCATCCAGCAAGTCACTATTGTACTCGTCATCATCGTCGTCATCATCATCATCGTCATCATCATTGTCGTCATCATCATCGTCGTCATCATCACTTATAACATCCTCGTCTTCTTCGCCGTCAGGCTTATTTTCTACAGTCCCTGGTTCGGCCAATCATGATCAATTTAATTACAACATACACTACAGCAGCATCAGCAGTCGCTACTACAAGAGCAACGACAGCAGCCACTGCTGCAGCTACAATTTTAAAAACATCAGCAACAACGACTATAGTAATAGCGACAACAACAACAACTATGGCCAAAATGATGACAAACAAAACAACAGCATCGATGACGACAACAATTCTACTCCTTTTTCGCAAAATGATGTCATTTACGACAAAAACATCAACAGCCACAACATTGGCAGCTACAAAAGCTACCGCAACAACTACATCAACAGCCACAACATCAACAGCCGCAGCAGCGAACTGGTCAACGACAATATTGATTGTTCCCCAACAGAACAAAACATCAACATAGACGACAGTGATGATAACGAAGAGAGCCAAGCAATCAAACATAATTCTACGCTAGATAATGAGGACGATGACGACGAAGATGATGACGTAACTTCCCCATATGACCAGCGCAAGAAGAAAACACGGACCGTATTTTCGAGAAGCCAGGTTGCCCAGTTAGAAAGCATGTTTGTGGCCAAGAGATACTTATCAAGTGCAGAAAGATCAAATTTGGCCTTGACCTTGAAATTAACCGAAACGCAAGTTAAAATCTGGTTTCAAAATCGACGAAATAAATGGAAGCGACAAATTCTCGACAACACGACATCGACGACGCAATCGTCGTCGCCACCAACCACACAAACGCAGCAGCAGCCACAGTTTCAAAATCATATCGATGCTATCGAACGTCGAGAACAATTTGGATCTGAGTTCTCCAGATTTATGCAAATCAAAATTAACGCAACAAAACCGCTGGCAATCTACGGAGAGAACTACCTCACGGATTCCTTCCCTAGACAGCATCCAGGTTTTTTGCCGCCAGCGATGAACGGCGTCGGCAGCGTGAGTAATGGCAGCACATTCCTCTTTCCCTTCCTGCCCATGTCTCATCGATCGGTCGGCATGGCTGATAAAAATAAAGCTCTGTCATTTTTAAACGAAAATTTAAATGATAAGTTCAATTTAGAAGCTCCTTCTTAATCGAGTTTATACAATGGATTATGCAAGAAAAACTGATTTTCTAACTTTTTTCCGAATTAATTTTTTTCAAGTTTTAAAAATCAATATTTCGACAAATGTTTTATATACTTTTCCATGTGATGTTTATTAAAATCATCCACAAAGCATTTTTTGTATTGTATTTTTATTATATTATCTTTAGTCTTTGATAATTATTTCAAATAAACGTTTCGACTTGTTTACATAATAAATCATTGTTTGGATCGTTCTTGAACAACTCAGCAGTTAACATTTCGAATCAAAAAAGCACAATGAGCTACAGTTCGTGTCGCAAGAAGATAGTTAAGACTTGTGTGCCATCTAACGAATCAATCTATAACCTGCTACCCAAAGTTGAACAAGAGGTTTCAAAGTTGCCCCTGTACAAATCCATCTATTCCTCGAAGGTTTTGAGAGATTTGAAGAACAAAAAACACGACAGCAAAACATTCGGAGTGGCTGAGTTGTATCTGAAACCGCCGCAAGAATTTCTTAAGAGGCAAGAACGTAATGCCAGAATAACCCTGGAAGATACTACTAAAAAGTCCGCAGTCGTTCCGCCAGCAATCACGAAGAAGAGAGAGAAAAGAGAGAGACTAATGAAGAATTTGATGAATTTTAAATCCAAAGACTCGAGCAAGTCTCCGAGACGAGGGGGCGTGCGAGATGATGCAATGTGTCCCAACAACCCGGCCTACACGTGTCTCGATGAGATGAAAAATAAAATGAAACCTCGAGTGCGGACGCCGATGCGAAACATTGAAAAATTACGTTGCGATGCTAACTTTAATTTAAAAAGCCAGGCGCCTGTTCTGCGTTTCGAAAGATTCAAGAAACCTGATAAAAAGCAGCAATCGACTCATAATTACATTAAAGAGAACGTACAGTCTGTCCTTAAGGCACAACCGAAAAAAATCTGCCAGCCAATGTTGGTGTTCACCAAAAAGGGGGATAAGTTCAGTTTCCGCGACAGTGGCATGGACGCTCATTACTCCAGATGTCGGGAATTTGGAAAGGTGCCCTGCTATGTGCAACGTAGAAAGAAGGAATTGCAAGATGCCAGAGATGAATATGACAGAAAGGTTTCAGACAAAATCGGAGCTTGTGCCATGAAAAAGTTGACCCCAGAAGAGAGAGAAACATTGTTGTGCAATCTGCACGAAAGTCACAAAAAATTATTCGATCAGTACAACAAATTGCCCATGGTCATCTCGTCTTTGACCATGAAAAATTTCAAGATAAAGTTAGAAGTAGAGTTATCGCAGTTGGAGAAAGACATCAAGCTGCTGACCACTCACTCAGAAATTTATGTCGCCGATTGACTCGCTTGTTCGTAAATTATTTCTGTGGCATTATTTAACATTTTTTTATGTTTAATTAATTGAAATTTGTTAATTTATTAGTGTTATAAGTTTTCATTTTGTTAGTTCGTCCTTGTTTATATATTTTAAAAAATAATTTTAACAGACTTTAATTCAATACATTTTTTTATTTTCATGATAAGTACCACAAAAGTAATGCCGTAAATATAAGTTGTTAATAAGTCTGTAAATGTAGAGACCATAAAATGCTTGTGATTCATGCAAATGAAATAATGTCATAAAATAATTAATACAAACAATACAAGAAAGCTTTCAAGTTCTCAAGATGTGTGTATCAAATCAAATAAAATGCATTTATGAATATCTTATAAAATAGATAAAACATTTTATAAAAAGCTGCAACAAAAATATAAAATTAAAAAAGTTGGCCATGATGAAAATGATATTTATGTATAAATAACCAAATATTTTATCACATGGAAAGAAACAACTACACAAAAACATTACAAAATGCATCTGATTTCCATAAAAAAAACATTAAAAATATGTAGATGGGATAATAGAGCGCTTCTCTATTCTAACAACTTTACTTCAACAAAAATAAAGACTTACTTAAGAGGCTTTCAATACGGTAGAGACTATTACATTCTTCAACCAAATAGTGATACGTGGTGAGTTTTTGACCGTGACCTCTTTCGGACAGCTGAATCTCACGTTGGCTGCAAGACCAAAACTTTTCTAACGTCTTTAATCGGGTGTAAACGTCGCAAAGACAATTTAAACTGCCTCCAGAAATCATTTTCTGTAGTTTTAACTTCAACCCTTGCTCTCTGAACTCTGTAGATTCGTCGATTTTTTGTGAGAGGCCAAAAGATAGCGAGACAGCTTTTGATAGCAGGTTCAGTGAGTAGCATTCCTTGCGTTCGTGTAGGTTTGTCGTCAGCTGAAGATAATTTTTCATCATGTTTTTATTGAAAATGACTTTGTGGTGGTGCAGTGAATGTTTTGGAAAAAAAATTAGTTTAATATTTCTTTATATAAAAAGAATAATTCGCGATCAAAAAAAGTTAAATTGAAAGTTTCAAGTGTACGTAAAAAACTAAATCGAAAAAATGAAACTGACATGTTGAAAATCATCCTTAAAAGGCCTCTTTGGACAGACCAAGCTACCGGTTCTCTAAAGTTCAAAGTTCAATTGTAATAATTTCAATAATTAGTTATGGTTCGGTCAAAATGAACTAATAAGATCCAATCACAATCGTGACAAAAGTTATACACTATAAACTAAACTAGCACACCATCATCGTTATAAAATATATACAAAGTTGGTGGATATACATATTGTAAACAAATATTGATATATAAAAATGTGCCAAGCTAATCATTGCTTTACATTGTTAGCAACAAAACAACAACACACATTTTAACACCAGGCAATAACATCAGCTTCAACACTGCAACAACAACATTGCAACAACAACATCAACAACAACAACATCTGCAACAACATTAACGACTTAGGACAGCAACAACAACAACATTAAAAAAACGTAAACAACAACATCACTAACGTATTCATTAGACCAGAGTAAATTTCTTATTTCATTCCTGATGTTAATCAGACTGAACTTAGTTTCTGACAAAGTGTAATCATAGTAGTCATCATCATTTTTTTCGCCATTGTAGTTACTTCTGCTACGTCGGCTTCTCAAGCTGTTGTTTTCTTGGGAGTTTTGGTGAGCATTTGTTGCCGTGGCTGTAGTTGTTGCAACAGCTGCGGTGTATGTAGCCGATTCTAAAGATGATGACGTGGTAAATGTTGGATAGGGTAATGATGATGTCGAAGGTGAAGATGACGTAGATGACGATAATGAAGATGATGATGAAGTAGATGCTGAGAGCAATGGTGATGAAAAAAATGATAAGGCTAGTAATGATGAGGTGGACGAGGAAGAGGGTGATGATGACGCAGGCGATGACGTAGTTGATGACGAAACTGAGGAATGAATGACGTCACCATTACCGTCGCTTGAATAGCAAATTTCTGCCAACAATATTTTCTTTTGTCCAAGTAAGGCTTCAGAGTCGTCGTCTGGTGATGGATTGGAAATTTGGAAAAAAGTCAAGTAAAATCAAATAGTTTCAATCAAATGATTTAAAAAAAGATTGTAAATTTGTATAAAATGTGTATGCTTATTTATTTAGCACAACACTATACAACTTAATGATAGATCGAAAATTTTTTACCATCATCACCCTTATTGTTATTGATGTCATTGCTGTTGTTGTCGTTGCTGTTGTTGTCATCATCGTATTGATGTGTTACTGGATGGCCTAACAACACATAACAACTTGCCATAAAAATCATAAAAATTTTGATCATTTTGAGAAAAAAAATTTCGTTAAGAATTTTTGTAAAAAAAAGAATTGTAACTTCTTAATAAATTTAATATTTGTCCCTATTTGTTATTATTGCAAGATTGCTTTCAATATAAAAATAGCAAAAGTGAGTTAAATTTATGGACGAAGTCGAAGGAATTTGTATAAGTGGAATGGCTATAAACCATCGTGAAAAAATTGGAAAAACCTGAGAAATCTGTGAAATACCGCGTCATCATTGGAATATGCTCGAGATGAATTATTTGAATTATTAAAAGATGAAAAAAACATGTGTGAAGATAACAAAGCTGTCTTACTGGTAATTATGGTCGAGAATATGTATATACACACATTCCCACACGCACATACAGACACGGACACACACAACAAACACACACACACACGTATATGTATGCACGTTTATATATATCGTTATCGTCTCATAATTATCATTGTTAACATCATCAAACCTATGTTAATTATCTACCTTTGATGCTATATCGAAAGTGAAAAATCTCTTTTCAAAATGGAATTTCCAAATCAAAATCGAAACCAGCCAGACCTCGTGTATCCAACGCATACAAAATGTTAGCAAACATCTTCGCATACATACGCGTATATGTATATACAGAAAATACAAACATAATACTTTCACTCAGAGATACACACACTCACACACATACATACAAATACACACACACGTATAAACACACACACACACACACACACACACACACACACATATATATATATATATATATACACACAATTTTGTACAAATACAGATTTTAAAAAATTTGGCAAAATTTTTTTCTTCAAAAAATTGCCTAATATTATTTGTTTTATTGTGTTTGTATGTGATAAACCGTACTATACAAAAAAGTGCACTGGCATGCATGTATGTATGTAGATGGTATTGTACTGTGTTGAACGTGAATTACGGGTATTTTGTTGTAACGTAATGTTTCAAGGCTGTTAATTGGCCTGACTAAATCAATGAATAAATTAATAACACAAATGTTTTTTTTAACAGTGAGAGAAATAAAATTACCTGAAATCTAAGTTGCAAATTACCATTTCTCTCTTCTTCTCTCTCTCTTTCTTTCTCTCTCTCTCTCTCTCTTTGCCTCTTTCTTTCTCTGTCTCTCTCTGTCTCTCTCTCTCTCTCTCTCTCTCTATATATATATATATGTATATATATATATATATGTATATGTATATATATATATATATATATGTATATATATATATATATATTTATATTTATATACAGTATTGTAATTACACATAAAACAGTTAATGAATAAATGGATGGATGAATGAACGAACGAACGAATGATAGAGTGAATAGTTGAAAAGAATGTTTGGATATCTAATTGCTGTCAATGAAATCACACGCGCACAAGCAAATAAATCATTAGCAATGGTTGTAATATTTGGAGGGGTAATTATGTAAAGAGAGGACCCTATTTTAATAAAAACAACAACAAACAACAACAACAATAATAATAATGATAAGTTAATACCCAAATCAATCAAAGAAATGGTTATTTTTTGTCTATGTAGGTTTTTCCACATCTTGCCTGTCTATGATGTTGAACAGACGATGGTGATGATGAGAGTGACGATGATGAAATGGAGGATGGCGATGATGACGATAATGATGACCACCGCGTTAGTAGCCATGATGATGATGACGACGATGATGATGAAAACGATGATGATGATGATGACGACGATGATGACGATGACGATCATGTAAACACATGAATGAATTTGTAAAAACAACAAATCAATAGTTTATCTGGTGTAACGCTCACATACCAACATCCTATACTATGGGGTATCATTGCAAATGTGATAGTGTTTTGTAGTATACATTGATATATATATCTTTGATTGAGTATCTTAGTCTATGTTTGAAAGATATCATATCTTATCATATCATATCGTAGCCTATTCGTACGTTGGTGTTTGCAGAAGACATTCAAATTATTAATTTATTTAATTTATTATTGAAAATAATTTTATTTTTTTAAAATTTTTAAATTAACTTTTAGAAACGGGAAAGAGAAAGAAAAAAAAAGAAAGAGTGACAGAGAAGAGAGAGAGAGAGAGAGAGAGAGAGAGAGAGAGAGAGAGAGAGAGAGAGGGAGAGAGAGAGAGAGTGACAGAGAGAGAGAGAGAGAGAGAGAGAGAGAGAGAGAGAGAGAGAGAGTGACAGAGAGAGAAACATTTTGATAAAAACGCTTTACGGTCGCTAAAAATAAACTTCAGCTGACGACTTGAAAAATTAATTGATCTTTCTAAAAATAAACATTTCAATCCAACTGCAGCGTTAACATGACGACGATAATTTGGATAGAGGACGACGACGATGAAGATGATGATGGCTGAGATGATGACGAAGATGATGATGAAGATGAAAATGACGATGAAGATGATGAAGAAGATGACGTACATGATGATGAGGATAACGTACAAAATGATGAAGAAGAAGAATAAGATGACGGTTTATATAATGACGGTGATGATGAAGAAGGTGATGATGGTTACGACGAAGAAGACAATGATGAATTTAATGCCTATTTTAAAACGAACGCAGACTATATAGCCAGTATGTCTATATGTATGTACGTATGTATGTACGTATGTATGTAAGCATATATGTATGTATGTAAGCATATATGTATGTAAGTATGTAAGCATATACGTATGTATGTAAGCATATATGTATGTATGTAAGTATGTACGTATATATCTATGTATGTGTGTGTGTATGTCGGTTTCAAGAGTGCATGCAGAGAAGCAATAGCTTTTAATGGTATGTTAACTAATAATTATTATAATTATGCGTCCTTTCTATGGTGCGTCATTGCCTATGATCTCGAATCAATATTTCTGGAGGATATTTTTCATTTTGAAGTTTTTTGATTTTCCAGCTCGCATGTCGGTTAATTGGATTGTTTGTAATTGTGTGTAAATGTTTCTAGAAACATCTTAGTGGTCATGGTTTTGTTTGTAAGTGGTCACTGGTCAGTCTGTCTGTCCGCTTATTTCTTGTGCGTGTGAGTATATGTATGTATGTATATGCATGTATATGTATATGTATATGTATATGCATGTATGTATATGCATGTATATGTATATGCATGTATATAAAGGAAATTATAAAAATGTACTTATAAAATGTTATAAATATGTTGTTACAAAACACACGCGAATATAACACGTCATATGGGTTTACATACATAACTTGTTATATATGTATATAGGTACGTGTGTCTACATGCAAGTGTGTAATGTAGGCAAATTAATTATATATATAATATATTTTTATATATATGTATATTTTTACAATATTCTATAAAAATATAATTTATATATATATATATATATATATATATATTACAAGCAAACAATGAATATAAAACATAACGTTGATTGTAACAACGCATCTATATTGCAGCAAGTAATTAGTTAGGTGGCGTATGTAATAAGTTTGCATAATGAAGCGCTATTTAGGTATACGTTCTTCTTCCGGAACACACGCACACACACACACACACGCAAACACACACACACATACATACATGTAACAACATATTTATAATATAAATATATATAAATATAAAATATATTTATATATATATATAATTTGTATATATATATATATATATAATTTGTATGTATATAAATATTTAATATTGGCATACATTGTTTAGTAATTTATATAGCACATCGGTGTCGCTTATTCTTTTTTTATCTTTGTACATGACTAAACATACGTGATAATTGTTTCTCTTTATTTTTTGTCAAATGGATTGTAAAATTTGATGTTTAATTTGGATCGATTTTCAATACTATAAAATACATCAAGTCGGTGAAAATTAGCGACAAACGCTCTCGACAACACAATACAACCGGTACACGCACGTATACAAACGCATACATATTGCATTGTAATTGTATGTATGAGTTATAATACAATACAATACAATATAGTACCTTACATATACCATACACTTGGTATACACAGCGACTATACAATTACCTTCGATATATAACACATACGAATTTTATGAAATTTTGAGCTCCGGATAAATTAATTGATAGCTGTGTGTGCGTGCGTGTGTGCGCGCGTGGTGATGCCAAATAATAACACTAAGGAGTTGGAAGAGGACTCGACGATGGATGAATTAGATCAAGGTTTGTTTAGCTGATTTTTTTTTAAATTTTTATTTCTGGTTAGTGTTTCGAAGTTCGGGCGCTTGGCCTCACGTGGGCGCCTACTTCTTCAAATCAATCGATCACCGGAGCACTAATCGTCCGGCGAGCAAAACTAATTCGGCGATTTTCATGTTTTTCTTGCAACGTTTTGATTGGGTATTTTTAGGTTTTATTGATAAATACTGCTCATTTATTTGTCATAGTTTAATTTTTGTGGTGTATAAAGTGACTGATTGGGTGAATATTTATAGATGGTTTTGTTTTGATTATGGCATAATTTGTAATTATAGTTATCAAATGTTTAAAAGTGGATTCGTGTATTTAATCATTACCTCCATGCTAGTTTATAATAAATAAATAAATAAATTAATTAATTAATAGGATGAGACAAACTACTATTATAAGAAAAATGGCTTCTAAAATTTGATCAATACATTTTTAATATTTCATTTTACTGAGCATGGCTCTTGATGGCTTACTGCTCTGCTGCAAATTTGAAAAGCTTGATGCCAAATTTAATTGATCTGAAATTTATACTGTGTAGATTTTATTCCTTATTTATCCAGTGTGTTTGTTTGTTTGTGTGTGTTTTTATATGTATACTCATGTATGTGTGTATATTGTATATTCTAAATGTTTTTTTTCTTAATCAAACACACTAAAAAAGCTAAACACTTTTCACATTGTCACACACACACACACAATGACACACACAAACAACATACTGATGTGTTCTTATGAAAATTTGTTAATATTGAGAGAATCACGCCTGTTATTGATCATGTCCATTGATCTATTCTCAATATATAGTTTATGTTTATCCTTATGTAAAGGTTAAATATTCTTTTTTACTTGTTGAACTACTTAATGATGTGTTTAATAATTGCTATAATAATCTGTTCATTAATTTGAAGAAAAATTTGCTTTTATTTTTCATCCTATTAACTGGTATCCCTTTTTTAAATTAATTATTGAATTTGAAACTGAAATTTTAACCATAGAATTTAATTTAAACGAACAATTCAAATTTTGATTCTTTGAATATTAAAATATTAACAAACTTGACAGACGACAACGACTTGTCACAAGACATCAGCACCCCGGACAATAATAATGTTTCATCTAAAAAAGGTAAAAAGAGAAAAGCGAAAGACGGATCAAAGGATCGAAAGTCGAAGAAGTCGAGGCAGAGTAAATCAGATGTGACCGGTGTCATAGCCACTTTGGCTGCTGCAGAGGATGATGATGATGATGATCAGGTTTGATGTGATGATGATCAGCTTAATTTTTGTTTCGCTTTATTTAAAAATTTTTTTAAGGAAATTTAATTTTAATTTTTGCGTTTCTTGTTTATCATCTCAAGGATTAAGCTTTAAGGTTCTTTCTTTGTTTTTTTAAAGAATTATAGTTTTAAAATATTATTTCTAATTCTATATATATTTTAGTACTTTAAATTTTAATAGTAGTAGTAATGGTAGCAGTAATAGTAGTAGTAGTACTAGCAGCATTAGAAGTAGTATAAATAGTATTTTTAAATTTCTTTGAAGTTAATTTATCTTCAAATAATGAATATTATTGATAAGTTATTGTGTTGAATGTTGTTAAAGGGAGAATCAGAGTATGGAATTGTAGCCGGGAGTTATGATAATGATGAGCTGCAAGTCTCTTTGAGAAGGAAAAAAGGAAAAGATAGGAAAAAAACAGAGGTCCATATGACATTTATAATAACATTTTCACTATACTACTACTGCTGCTGCTACTACTGATACTGCTGCTACTAATGTCGCTACTGCTGCTACTACTATTACTACTGCTGCAGCTGTTATTATTGCTACTGCTTCTATCAATTACAATGACAATAATATCCACCACTCAAATGATTGATCGAAGGAAGTAACGACAGCTGCAGTCGCAGAGGATAGCACTGTTGATCCAGGCAGTAGCGTTTCTGTGAGGTCGTCGAGGAGGGCTAAGAAATCAAAAACGTCGAAAAAGAAGGACGACGTCGTTGATACTCCGGACTCTAACAACACTGTTCGTTTGCTGATTTTGTTTTTTATTCTCTCAGATTATTAAAAGTTAATTTATTGATTAGATGAGTTATTAACTAGTTAAATAATTAGTAGATTAATAAATTTTAATTATAAAATTATCTTTGAATGGTATAGAAATGGTAGAATGAAAAAAAAATTTTGTTTTCGTAGGGAGACATGGAGGCGACAGTCGACGACGACAACGATAACGAGTACACTCCCGAGGTGAGAGAACGAAGGAGGGGAAGGAGAGATCGAGAAACGCATCATGTTCGTCTTGTTCCTCTTTTTCAAATTATTTTAATTTTAATTTTATTGTTCATTTTAGCATTAAATAAATAAATATATAAATAAATAAATTAATTAATAAATAATTAATTAAGAAATTGAATTACTCAAAAAGCAGCAGGAAACGTCAGATGAGATCTGCTACAAGCACGGCTGGAACCCGACGTGCGTCAACTACACCCAAGACGATTTCAGATCCTGGAATACATTCCAAATATTTTCTAGTCAAGTGGGTCACCTTGTTCAGAAGGACAACCCTAAGATACCCCTAATTAAATTGAGTGGGTTGCTGGCTGTTATGTGGAGGGAGTTTCTCGAGTTGAATCCATATAGAGAGCAGATAAACAAGCCCGTGCCTAGCACAAGCAATGCTGCATCTTATAATGATGGTTCGTTGGTTTTAATTTAGAATTTGAATTTTAATACTGGCTGTTCGTTTCAGTTTGAGGCTTTTGAATTTTATTTTATAATAATTTATTTTATTGTGTAATAATTAATAATTGTATTATGTTTAATTTTGTGTAAGTGGTGTAAATTATGGAGAGAAAAATGTATTTCCTATCAAAAGCAATGTAACTGCTATATTTGGTCTGACCTGACAGATGCAGCTGACGACTATGCCGACAACATGACTGAGAGTGAAGATGGCGATCAGCTGAGCTGCGAGAGGAGGAAAGTAGTTGCACCTCTGAAGATAAAAATTAACAAGAAGAAAAAGAGAAGAAGAGGGAGCGATGTAAGTTGTGTCGCCATCAAAGTCCCACCATCACTTTTTTAGTCATCCTTGCCATCATCATCTCAGATACATGTATTGTACACGCATGTATGCTCGCACATTAAATAAATACACACACATTCAAATACATAAGAACAGTACACACACAACACACACACACACACACACGTGCATGCATACACTAACATAACATAAACAATAAACAGGAAGATGAAACATCCAACAACAATGGCAACAACACGAGCGATGAGGAGTTTGAGCGACAGCTGGAGGAGGCAGCCATGATCGAGGAACAGGAGAAGAACGAAAAGTCAAAGAAGACCAAGGTGAAGAAGGGCAGAGGCAGGAATGGGAAGAAAAAATCGGGCATGAGTAGCAGCAGGCTGAACAAGTCGAACGAGGGAAACGATGGCTATGAGGTTTGTATGTCAGTTTGTACGTTGCGTCTCCATATTTACTTGCGTGTATGCCTTTGAAAATATGTGTAAATTTAAAATTCCTTTAATCTTTCCTACCAATTAAATCGCCACAACTGCAGACTGACCACCAGGATTATTGCGAGGTGTGTCAGCAAGGTGGTGAGATAATCCTGTGCGATACGTGTCCCAGGGCTTATCATCTGGTCTGCTTCGACCCGGAACTTGAACAGCCACCGGAGGGCAAGTGGAGTTGCCCTCATTGCGTAAGTAGCATTAGGAATGATTAACTTCAGCGCATTTATTAATATCAACGCAACCTAAATGGACTTTACACCAACGCATCAACAACGAACACAAACACAAACTGCAGGAGGAAAACGGACCAGACAGGGAGAAGTTGGAGCAGCAGCAGCAGCAGCAGCAAAAGGAGCAGAAGCAGGAAGACCCACACATGGAGTTTTGCCACGTCTGTAAAGATGGCGGCGATCTACTATGCTGCGACAGTTGTCCGTCTGCGTACCACACCTTTTGCCTCACGCCCCCCGTCACTGATGTCCCAACCGGGGTTTGGCACTGCCCCAGGTGTTCGGTAGGTCGCTGTGATTGTAATTTTGATGTGCTCTCAATGGTTGTCGGCATTCATGTAATTTTTATATTGTAGATATTGATGTGATGTTGACTTTTTTTTTCTCTCTTTAGTGTGAGCCCATCCAAGGAAGAGTGCAGAAAATATTGACCTGGAGGTGGAAAGAACCGCCAAAGGTCATGGACGAGTTAGATCACGTGACTCCTCATACAACCAATAAGAAGAAGGTGGGTGGGATCATATAATCTAACTAACGTTATGATTGGTCAATAATTTTATAATAAATTCATTTAGAAAGTTATTCTAATTCAATTAGGATCACAGAGAAAGGGAATTTTTTGTGAAATGGCATGACCTTTCCTATTGGCACTGTAAGTGGATATCCGAGATCCAGGTTAGATTCATACTAAATTATAATATTTATAATAATAATAATTATACTTCACATAAATATAAATTATGATCCGTACCATCGTATCTATTATTTAGCATCGCTATGACAATCCCATTCCTAATTCTCACCACGGCAGCTGGATGTCCACCACCCGGCCATGTACCGCAACTACATCCGTAAAACCGACATGGACGAACCACCCCCTCTTGAAGATGGTAGCTCCTACGGTAGGGACGACAACAAGGAGGCCAGCCAGGAAGACCCCCACAACCTCGAGGAAAGGTTCTACAGGTACGGCGTCAGACCTGAGTGGCTACAGATTCATAGGATTCTTAATCATCGGTTAGTCGGTGATGGATGGATGAATGGATGAGTGAGTGAGTGAGTGGATATATGAATGAGTGTGTTAGGGAATGAGTGAATGATTGAGCTTGCGAGTTAACGAAAAAGTGAAACTCACTCACACACACATTACCAAACCAACAGCCAGTACAAAGATGAGAAAGTTTTCTACCTGGTGAAGTGGAGGGATCTACCATATGACCAGGCCATCTGGGAAGCCGAGGATTCCAATATTCCTGATTTCCAGAAATACATCGACGACTATTTTGATCTTAGGTACGTGCATTTGTGTGTAAGTGTTTGTCTGTGCGTTTGTGTGTGCGTGTGTGTGTGTGTCATTGTATCCATTCATTTTTAAATTCATTTATCTGTCAATCAATCAATCTAACTAGGACGATTATGCTGGGTCTTGATGATAGTCGCAAATCGAAGAGAGGAAGAAAGCCGAAAAAGAATAAAAGAAGAAAGAACGACGGAGATGATGATGATTATGAGGATAAGGAGGATGAGGACAACGAAGATGAATCGTCAGCCACGGCAAACGCCACGTCCATAAACGCTGCAGCTAACGTGTCAGCTACAACGACGACAGCGTCAATGAATAAGAGCATTAAGAAGCAGCAACAACGAAGGCAGATGCCCCCTGTACATCCTTCAACTGATGTTGGTTGTTGTTGTTTTCATTCCGGATGTTGTTGTTGTTGCCGCTGCTGCTTTTGTCCAATTTTAGGCCAATTATTCATTCATTTATTCTTCCATACGATCAATCAATTAATCAATCAATCATTCAATTAAATGATCAGTTAATTGATCAATCAACCAATCAATCATACAATCAACCGACCAACCAGTTGACGAGGCAGGTTCAAGAGCAGCCAGATTACATAAGTTCAACAGGTGGTACGTTGCATCCATACCAGTTGGAAGGTCTTAATTGGTTGAGGTGGGAACTCGTTCGTTCGTTCGTTCGTTCGTTTATTCATTCATTCATTCTTTCGTTCGTTTACTACTTCATGTATTTATCCATGCATTTATTATTCCCCGCTTTATATATTCATTCATGCATTAATTCATTCAGTAATTCATTCATTCATTTGTTGACACATATTAGATATTCCTGGAGCAAGGGTACCGATACGATATTGGCAGATGAGATGGGACTTGGGAAGACCATACAGACCATTTGTTTCCTCTACTCCCTGTACAAAGAGGTTAGTAATTAATTAATACTGCTATCTATTCTGTACAGGCTCAACGCTCGGAAAAACTGGCTGGATGGATGAAACGTCTGATGTTTCATTCATTTAATTTAACCAATGCTTATGTAAACTTGATTCTTGCCAACCAATTATTAATTCTGCTTTTTTGTTGTAACTAACGCCCTCGCAACTGTTCCTGAACCACAGGGCCACTGCAAGGGCCCATTCCTAGTGAGTGCCCCACTGTCCACCATCATCAACTGGGAGCGTGAGTTTGAGTTCTGGGCCCCGGATTTTTACGTCATCACTTACGTTGGGGACAAAGATAGTAGAGCTGTTATCAGGTTTGATTGTTCGTTGGTCAATGTGCTAAAGTGTTTTATAATATCTTTGGTTTATTTATCTCACTTTCTTTCTCTCTTTCTCACTCATTTTGTTTCGTTTTCATTCCGTTATTTTCTGTTGTTTGCCTTTTTTTGTGTTTTCCCATCTGTTCACCTTTAAATATTTTCCATCTCGTTAATCACCATGCAGGGAGCACGAGTTTTCGTTTGAGGAGGGTGCCATCAGAGGGGGCAACAAAGCGTTTCGGATGCGTCGAGATGTCCCCGTCAAGTTCCACGTCCTCCTAACTTCCTACGAACTCATCACCATCGACCAGGCCACTCTCGGCTCACTCGATTGGAAGGTTCTCGTGGTCGATGAAGCTCATAGGCTCAAGAACAACCAATCAAAAGTTAGTATGCAATACATTTACCGAAAATTTGTTAGACAAAAATCAAGTTTACATGAAAATGGATTGAATTACATGAATAAAACTTGCGGCATTTTATCCATCAAATCAGTTTTTCCGACTGCTGAGCCAGTACAGAATAGATTACAAGTTGTTGCTGACGGGCACACCACTGCAGAACAACCTGGAAGAACTCTTCCACCTTCTCAACTTTCTCTCTCCAGACAGATTCAGGTACCTCGTTCTCATTCATTGCTTCTTCTTTTTCTTCTTCTTCTTCTTCTTTAGAATTTTGCGGCATGCTCTATTAGTTAATTAATTAATTAATTTGTTAATTAATTAGTTATTTATTAAAATATTATAATTTCCGCGTAGCAATCTGCAAGGGTTTCTTGAAGAATTCGCTGACATTTCGAAAGAGGAGCAGATAAAACGTTTGCACGAATTGCTGGGCAACCACTTGCTGAGGAGACTGAAAGGAGATGTGCTCAAAAATATGCCCTCTAAAAGCGAATTTATCGTCAGGGTTGAGCTGAGCCCTATGCAGAAGTAAGAGGCATTTGTTGATGGGGTTCTTTGTTGGTTGGTTGGATGGTTGATGGCTTTATTTTGATTCATGATTCATTGTTTTAGTATAATTGGCCATCAATTATACAACATTCTTCTCAACTATCACACAAACTGAACATTTCTCCATCTAACTCCAACCTCATATTGACCACAGGAAGTACTACAAGTACATACTAACCCGCAATTTTGAGGCCCTCAACGCCAAGGGCAGCTCCAGTCAGGTCTCCCTCCTCAACATTATGATGGACCTTAAGAAATGCTGCAACCATCCTTACCTATTTCCAACTGCTGCCCAGGTCAGCATCATGAGGATGAACGTTGAATGAGAATGATGGTGCTGAACATGTCTGTAGCTATGAATGTATACGACTCTGTTGTTTCTTTATTGTTATCGTTTTCGTCATCATCGTCGTCTTCATCATTATTCTTCTCATCATCATCGTCTTCTTCATCACCATCTTCATCTTCTTCATCATTTTCATCATCATCCTCATCTTCTTCATCTTCTTAATCATCATCCTCATCTTTTTCATCTTCTTAATCATCATCATCATCATCCTCATCATCTTCATCATCACCATCCTCATCTTCTTCATCGTCATCAACTCAGGAGGCTCCGAGATTACCTAACGGGATGTTTGAAGGGTCGGCCCTGATCAAGGCGTGCGGGAAGTTGGACCTACTCTCACAGATGCTCAGGAAACTTCATAGAGATGGCCACAGAGTGCTTATCTTCTCACAGGTACTGCTGCTGCTGATGATGATGATGACGATGTTGGTGGTGGTGGTGGTAATTATGATAATGATGATGTTAATTATGATAATGATGATGATGTTGTTCGGGATGATGATGATGATGATGGTATTAATTATGATAATGATGAAGTTGTTTTTTTTGTGACAAATTACAACAATTGAATTTTGTGTGTGTAAATGATTGATGTACGAGCGTACGAATTATTGAATGGGTTCGTGAATAAATTATTGAGTGGATAAGTGAATAAGTAACTGGGTGATATGTTGATAAATGAGTGCATATTTTTATCCTCAGATGACAAAAGTTCTGGACATCTTGGAAGACTTCCTGGAGAATGAAGGCTACAAATTTGAGAGGATTGATGGTGGCATTACAGGAACGCAACGACAAGATGCGATCGATCGATTCAATGGTTGGTTGGCTGGCAGGTTGGCTGATTGGTCGGTTGGTTGGTTGATTGGCTGATTGATTGGCTGATTGATTGGCTGGTTGGTTGATGATGGATTTAGTTTGGTAGCCTAATATTAGATAATGTATTCTAAAAATTGTTATGAATATCTGTTTAAATAGTTGATTTTTCTTTGCACCGCACACAGCTCCACAATCGCCTGCATTCTGTTTCCTCCTCTCCACAAGAGCCGGTGGTCTGGGTATCAATCTGGCCACTGCTGATACTGTCATCATCTATGACTCCGACTGGAACCCTCATAACGATATTCAGGTTGTTGGTTCGTTTGTTGTTCGTTTGGTCGGTTGGTTGGATGATTGGCTTTCATAGTTTTCATATTTAACCAATCACTCACTCAACCAACCACCATCCAATGAACATGCAGGCGTTCAGTAGAGCACACAGGATTGGCCAGGCAAACAGGGTCCTCATCTACAGGTTTGTGACGAGGAACTCCGTGGAAGAGAGAATCACGCAGGTTGCCAAGAGGAAGATGATGCTAACTCATTTGGTCGTCAGACCTGGATTAGGTTGGTTGGCTGACTGGTTGGTCTTTTGGTTGGTTGGTTGGTTGGCTGATTGGTTGGTTGGTTGGTTGATGGATGGATTAATGAAATAACCATGCTTATAGATAAATCATCGTCTTTATCGCCACTTTAATCTCCAACACTGTCACACAAAAAATGACGAACGCACGCACACCACACACGCGCACAGGCAACAAAGGCGCCATGATGTCCAAGCAGGAACTGGACGACATCTTGAAATTCGGCACAGAAGAACTTTTCAAAGAGGAGGACGCCAACAACAACATGACGAGTGGCGGCAACGACGATGACGAAAACAACTTAGGTGGCGATGGTGGCGGCAGCAGGATCGTCTACAACGACCAGGCCATTGAGAAGCTTCTAGATCGAAGTCAGGAGGCCCAAGAAGAAAAAGAGATCGCCATGAATGAGTACCTCAGTTCCTTCAAAGTTGCTACTTACACCGTGGCCGAAGGGGAAGAGGTTGTCTTGCTTTCGATGTTGTTGTGCGCTTCTACGTGTGCAGTTTTTGTCTTTTCTCCAATTGTAATTACTGCAACGCTATCGTCAACATTTTGATATCATATCATGATCAACCATGATACTACGTGATACAGGAGGAAGGAGAGATGGAAGTGTTGAGGCAGGAAGCCGAGCACGCTGACCCGGCCTATTGGGAGAAACTTTTGCGACATCATTACGAGCAACAGCAAGAGGACCTTACTAGGTTTGTTGTTGTTGTTAAATTTATTGTTGTTGCGTGGTGTCTTGTATTGTTAATGTTTTCTTCTATTTGTTGGTGTTTTTTATTGCTGAAGTACATGGTGGTTTCCCTGTGACTGTACGTATCAGTTTACATTTTTATACCTGTATCATCTTCTCCTTCAGACCTCTCCTTCTAAGTGAAGTTTTCTTTGAGTTGTATTTTTTCAAGGTTTTTATAAATATATCATCTCAAAATTAACATAATCTGTGAAACAAGGTCACTTGGTAAAGGCAAGCGAATCAGAAAGCAGGTCAACTACAATGATGCTGCCATGGGAACCAATGAGGAAGCTTGGAATAATGACCTATCTGATATTGATACGGATGTTTCTGCTCAAATGGGTATATTTATTTATTCATTCATTTATTCATTCATTCATTTGTTCATAAATTCATTCGTTCAATTCATAATATACATGATCACAGTCAATTAATTAATCCAAACAATCATTCGGTCAGGTCTGGAAGAGGATGATGATGATTTTGAGGAAGGGAAGAAGGAAGGAAAGAAGAAGAGATACGCGGGAGGTGATAGGGATCGAACCCTTCCCCCCCTACTTGCCAGGGTCAATGGACAAATTGAGGTTTGTTATGAGAATGTGATCATAATATAGATTGTTTTTTTTAACAAATCGAGATGCATAATTTATAAAAAATGATTCGATTTAATTTTCTCACCACAATCATATTTTCCTCCATTATCAGGTGCTGGGGTTCAACACGCGGCAGAGAAAAGCCTTCTTGAACCTGATAATGAGGTATGGCATGCCACCGCACGACCCCAACAACACACCGTGGTTCGTTTCTTTCTTTATTTCTTTCTTGCTCTTTGAGATGCTTGCCTATCAAGATAGACACGAATTAGACAGCAACCTTAACACCAAACATCCACAACAACAACGTCCACACGGAACAGGCTGACCAGAGACTTGAAGGGCAAGTCAGTGCGAGAGTTCAAGGCCTACGTATCCCTCTTCATGCGACATCTGTGTGAGCCAGGGGCAGAGAACGCAGAAACGTTCGCAGATGGCGTGCCCAGGGAAGGCCTCTCAAGACAGCACGTCCTCACTAGGATTGGTGTCATGTCACTTGTTAGGAAGAAGGTGGGGGAGTGCTGCTGATTGTTTGTGTCTTTTTTTTTGGTATGTATGATTATTTGATGATGACTGAATTGTTTGATCAGATCTCTCATTCATTCATTCACTCATTCATTCATTTATTTGCTCATTCATTCATTCGTTCGTTTTTTAGGTGCAAGAGTTTGAGCACATCAACAATCCTCACCAGTGGATGAGTTCATTTTGCAACGAAGGGTTGGACAAGTTGAAGTCCGAGAGCAATAGAAGTTCTGCTGTACCATCTCCAGCTCCGAGTAACAAGGAAGATAGATCGAAAAATGTTAGTTGGCCGTTCCATTGAATTGTTTTAGTGGCCAGCTACTCTACTTGCACGATTTTTATTTTTTGGTTTAAATATTTAAATAATTTAAATAATCAAATCATTTTTCAAAATTTTTCTTACAAAGAAATCTGAAAATGGAAATGCATCGACGACGTCCGCCACCGCCGCCACCAACAGCAGCAGTAGCAGCAGCGGCAACGAGGACAGCAAGCAGCAATCTGATCTCACTGCAGCTGCCGAAAAGTTGAAAGATGACGCTGTTAGTTGTTGTTGTTGATGTTGACGTAGTTGATGTTGCTGTTTTTGTTGTCGCTGATTTTGTTGTCGGTTGCCTCGTCGTTATACACATGTGATGATATCATCACTGTAGCTTCAGTCAGTCAACCAGTCAGTCAGTGCCCATTTCATTATTTTCATTCTCGTTTTTCACCACTACTGTCGTCAACTACATTGACCAGAAATCAGAGGAGGCCAAACACGACTCGTCAATCGCAGCAACCGAACCACAAGATTCTAAAGTTGATGTGAGCAAGAAGACTAATGATAGCGACAGTTAGTGTGATTTCGTCTTACTGCTACTGCTACGGCTCAATTCTATTACATCCGTTACAATACAACAATATATACATACGGCAATAAAATTGCCGGTACTGCTACCAATTTTACATGGACACATCATAGTCAATCACAACAATAACATTAACGAATCAACCATAACATTAAAACGGATAACATTAATGACAACACTAACTACAACATTCAAATAGATAACAACAACAGCAGCAGCAAACATCGCGAGATAACGATGGAAATGATGCGGGCATCAATGCTAACTCGCAAGCTCATGTTCAACATTGCAGATGGCGGATTCACCGAACTTCATTCCTTGTGGCAAACGGAGCAGGCACAGATCAGTCATGGTTAGTTGTGGTGACGATGATGATGAGGGTGACGACGACGATGATGATTACGATGACGATCGTGAGGGTGAAAAAAATGATGAAAATTAGTGAGAGATGTTGAGTAAGACTGAATCTCATAGCCTTCAACTGACTTTAAAATAAAATACCTACCCACCCACCTACTTACTTACCTACCTACCCACCTATCCAGGTAACGACCTTGAGATATGGCACAGGAAGCATGATTACTGGCTGCTATCGGGAATCGTGAAGCACGGATACGGCAGGTGGCAGGACATCCAGAATGACATCGCATACTTCATCGTCAGTGAACCGTTCAAGGCTGATATGGCTAAAGTCGGTTGGCCCCAGAGTTTTGGTGGTGGTTTCAGTTTTTGTATTCTGTGCTTGTTATGTTTGTGTTTCTGTATGTGTTTTTGTTTGTTTGTTTCTGTGTAATGTTACGGCATATAAACACACGCACGCACACACACACACACACACACACACACACACACACACGTCCATCTGCAAAAAACATACACCAGGGTAACTTCTTGGAGATGAAGAACAAGTTTCTAGCTCGTAGATTCAAGCTGTTGGAGCAGGCGCTGGTCATTGAAGAGCAACTGAGGAGAGCTGCCTACCTCAACATCACGCAGGATGCTAACTATCCCGCTATGACACTCAATGCTAGGTTGGTTGGTTGGTTGGTTGGTTGGTTGGTTGGTTGGTTGGTCGGTTGGTTGGATGGCTGGTTTGTTGGTTGATAGTTTTGATCATTTCTTGGTTCCTTTGTCTCGAATAATAATGATAATTTGAAAATGTGTGTAGATTCGCCGAGTTGGAATGCCTGGCCGAAAGTCATCAGCACCTGAACAAAGAAAGCATGGCCGGCAACAAACCTGCGAATGCTGTCCTCCATAAAGGTTCTACACGAATCTCATCACTTTCATGTTTTTTTTTTCTTTATGATTTTTCGTTTCGATTTTCTGCGCAGCCAACAAAAAATTTCTATCACATTCATCGTGGTGGTTTTCGTCATTCAGCTTAAAACATACATTTAACTCGCAATGAAACAAAACGCAACAAACAAACAAACGAACGAACGAACAAACAAACAACAATACATACACGAACGACCACAACCAGTTTTGAACCAGCTAGAAGAGCTACTGAGTGACATGAAGCAGGACGTCACGCGACTGCCGAACACCCTCTCACGCATTCCACCTGTCACGCAACGTCTCCAGATGTCCGAAAGGAACATCCTCAACCGCCTCATCAACCCCAACAACCACCACCACCAGCAGCAGCAGCTACAAATCCAGCTTCAGCAGCAAGGAAAAACCGGGCCAAACAATAACAGCGGTAGCAGTGGTGGTGGTAATAATGGTAGCGGGAGTGGCGCTCAAGTTAGGTCGAGTGTAGTCGCTGCATCCAATTGAAGATGGCCACGATGATGATGATGAAGATGATGTGGTGATGATGATGATAATGATGATGGTGGTGGAGGTGATAATGATGGCGTCAAGGAAGTGCTTCAAAAGTAATGCTACGTGTAACTATACAAATATTTATTTATAATTTATATTTAAATTCTTCAATAAACGAATTTTCAAAAAAAAGTTATTGTTGTATATACAAGTTTGTGTGTATGTGTGTGTGTATATATGTATATATTGTTGACTGTACACAATATATGTATTCTGATGAATATATAATATATATATATATATATTAAATGTAGTAATATTATTTTAGATTCGTAAAAATGGAAAAAATTTAATGGTCTTATTTTAAAATATATTTCTCGAAAATCACGCGATAGAAATATTGGTCTCAAAGAGCGTGTTTTATCTTCAGAACACATGCGACAAAAAATCAACATGTGTGTGCGAGCATGTGTGTGTGTATGCCTTTGAGTATGTGTGACTGTGAGTGTGAATGCATGTGTGTGTACGTGTATTTGTGTGTCTGGGTTTGTGTATGCGCGTGTAGATGTATGTGTTTTCACCTTAATGACGATTGATTGATTGATTGATTGATTGATTGATTGATTGATTGATTGATTGATTGATTGATTGATCGATCGATCGATCGATTGATTGATTGATTGATTGATTGGTTAAAAGATTGGTTGATGGTATGCGTGATCAATCAGTTGATTGTTTGAACGATAAGATGCAAGATGGATGAGCAAGAGGAATAAAATATGCGATGGATGAATGAATTGATAGATGAGTGGATGGATGGATGGATGAAATAGTAAAAGACATTCGATTGATGGATGTCTTATTGATGGATTGTATGACTGATTTATTAATGGAATGGCTGACTGATTGTTCTAGCCCAAGCATACAAACTCGCTGCAGAACGTTTTGTGTAGTAAGAGTGTGTGTGCATTGTGCACATATGTGTATACACCACACACACACACACACACACAAACAGAAATATTTTCTAGTTTAAAACAATGTTTAACATATTGGTTTGGAACGTAAATTTATTGGCGGTTATTTATACTTGGTTCGTA